GGGAGGAGAACGAAACACTCTTTATAAGGGTGTGGAAACCTTCCCCTAGCCGACGTGTTTTAAATCCTTGAGGGGAAGCCCAAAAGAGAAAGCCTAAAGAGGACAATATCTACTAGCTATGAACTTGAGTCGTTACAGCTACTACTTGTACCAACAAAGTGTACTTTTCTTTTTGGTGGCTCAATCACAGAAACTTCATGGTTAAACGTGCTTTCTTGGAGCAAATCTATATTAGATGACCTATTAGAAATTTTTCTAGGACTCACGTGAGTGAAGACAAAACATGTTGAAAGGACTTGTTGTAATACTCCAAGTAAGGTTAAAATAGGTTAAGTGAATGTAAGGTTTAAAGGATCCGAGAAAAGGAATTAAGGGACCCAAATAAGGACAAAGGACTTAAGCACGTGGTTTAAATGTCCTAACAAAGAATTATAAGGACATGATGCATTTGGAACATGATTTGAAATGAAAAAAAGTAAATATAAAGTGCAAAAATATCATTTTTCTAATTTTAAAGGAATTTTTCATATTTTTAATTTCTTATCGAGAAGGAATTTCAAGATACTCGGTAATAGAAAAACAGTTTAAGTTTTTGTTCAGAAAAATAATAAAAAGTGACAAAAATACTAAAATACCCCTAAAGTTCAAGTTATTTAGGGATTTTTTCGACCATTAAAAACCTACAACTAAATACCACCAACTTGAGATAATCATGTTGAGGATTATTGGGATTGGGAGTTGTCCCACATTGGTTAATTTAGTGGAAGATCATGGGTTTATAAGTGAGGAATACTATCTCCATTGGTGTGAGGCCTTTTGGGGAAGCCCAAAGCAAAGCCATGAGAGCTTATGCTCAAAGTGGACAATATCATACCATTGTGGAGAGTCGTTAGTCAATCCAAAGATACTGCGAGTTTTCTAGGGATGAGAGCAGAAGAAACCATGAAGATGTTGAAACCCGAAGCTCTATCTTTCGTGAGGATGAGAGGAGAATAATTCTAAAAGAAGATTAGTCATCTACCTAAGTAGTCTTCTACTGGGCTGTCAACAATTCACGTGGCTTGCTGATTCAGATTAAAATATTGTGTGTCCTTTTAAGTTTCTCACATTTTTAAGGTGACAAGAACGAGCTAGTCGAATACAAAAGCGAAGCAAGTGCACAATGTATTCAAACTAACCCTTGTTTTGGATTTGTAAATAAAATATGTTTATGTTTTATAAAATGTAAAATTTTTACCGTTCTCGTATATGTTTTCAAGTTTTTACTAAGCAACGACATGAAAATTGGGTCGTGACTCCTTGTTTAAGGATACTAAAAATCCTTCTGAACCGTTCTCCTTAGCTATTTTAGGACTTCGTAAAGGACAAATCACTATCTTGAACATCTCTCTTATGATATCTGTTAACTGAGTCAATCTTATTGAAACACCTTTAATCGTAAACTAGTCATCTTTTTGTTAATGTGTTTGCCACAATGTTGTCTTTCATGCATGGTAACAGTTTTCCACGTCATAGTCATTTATTAACTCCAACAACTGACACCGTCTCGTATATAGCTCCTTCTGCATGAATAGATACTTCAAGCTCTTATAATTAGTAAATACTTATATCTTCTCTCCATACAAGTAGTGCTACCAAATTTTCAGAGTGACGTAAGAACTTTTCGAGCATGCTATTAAACCTTTCAATTTGGGGAAGATAACTCAAAGAGATGTTTAGGCTCGACCCCAATAGCTTGAATAACTCAATCCAAAAGGTCCCTATGAATCTCGCATCACAATCACTGATAATGCTCGTGAGAATGTCCCACAACTTGACAACATGTCGAAAGTCATGTATAGGATAGTTAGGCTCATGTTCTTTTAACTCCCAAGAGTCATAGGTTATGACCTTGTCGTTTTGTACCACCACACAAACCAAGCATCACTATAGATTACAAAAGTATGAGTTGTCCGACACTGTGAGTACCTGTACAGTCACTAGCTTATCTTTGAGCACAATAAAGCTCTTTTCACATGGTGACGTCTATATAAGTTGGTATCTTGACCTTATACCTATCTTTGAAAACACAAATGCCCTTCAAAGTTTGTCAAATAGGTTATCTCTACTCAATAAGGGGTACTTGTTCTTAATCACGACTTTGTTAAGCTTCTGATAGTCTATACAACATATATCCATCATTTTTCTTGATGAACAACATTGGAGCTCCCCATGGTGACACACTAGGTTTGTCAAACCCCTTTTTCGAGCAACTCCTGTAACTGCTCCTTACGTTCTTTAAGTTCTGAAAGAGCCATTTTGTAAGATGCTTAGGAGATTGGTGTAACTATGGGTTCTAACTCGATCCCAAAGCTTGTCTCCCTTATCAAGGGTAGACCTGATAACTCTTCCGAAAATACATCACAAATACTATAACAACTTGTTTGGAGGATATATCTATTTTTGGTCTTAAGCTATCTATCCATGGGATTAGCTCCCAGACCACTCCCTTCCCCGATCAGCATCTAGTTAGTACCTGAAAAACATGTGAAACTGCCATTAGTATAAAATACTCCATAAGTTACCTACTTCTAGACTCTATATCGTATTGATTGTTGACACTAAGGTACTACACTCTAAACCCATCTATAAAATATAATCATTGGTTCTATTATGACTCATGAATACTTGGAAAGTTTGTTCGCCTATCCCTAATAATCACTTGGGTGGTCCCTCATCCTAGAATAGGTTTAAGGAGATTGGATCCCATCCGGCAATCCACTTCCACCCCACACAAATTTTGTTATAATCATAAAATACTCCGATGAAAGACCTACTAGGTCACATAGTTAGTAACAAATATGAACTCGAGGATACTCCCCGGAAAGACCTACTAGGTCACATAGTTAGTCACAAATATGAACTCGAGGATACTCCCTGGAAAGGCCTACTAGGTCACATAGTTAGTCACAAATATGAACTTGAGGATATACCTGAGTCCAGGATTTGGACTATCATTTGGAATCCAAATTTTCCTATGGTAGCCCCGACATTTCCATGTGTCCCCTGTAATGAGTTTGACATCACACAAAGTTGGATATCTCACCAAGGTGAAGAAAGACATGAGAACATGACGTGTTGTAGATATGAGAGGTCTAAAGTAACTTAGTGCATTAAGCGAGACTCAATTAACGACCATAGAGCATAAGAACATAAATTCATGTTTTTAGCCCGAAGGGGCTATCATAAAAGGCTTGAGCACAACCTAAGCATAAAATATCTCACAAGGTTCATAAGCCATAACTCAAACATTCATATCAATAATCTACCAAATTATAAAAAAAAAAAAAAAATCATGCATAAGTAGTAATAGCGTTATGTAAAGTTTTAGGTCGATCAGAAATCTTCCAAACCATAGAATGTGTATTAGGGGGGTATTACTGTCATTTTACCCTCATTGTTGGTATAAGTCTTACACTCGTTTATATGACCTTAAAATCATACTTAACTCATTCATGGTGAATGTATAGAATCATCATCCTCTGATTTGTGATTCTGCTTCCTTTTTGTACAATCTGTCCAAAAGTGACTTTTTTCTCCACAACTCCAACACTTTACGTTTGGTTTGTTTGAAGATTTTCCTCGGTTCCTTGATTTTGATCGCCCATTGTTTGGGCCCTTCGATTTGCTTCTTCCCCTTCGATTAACACCTAGAGCATTGCCTGATGAATCTCCGATTTCCCGTTTGCGAATACTTTCACTGAGAACTACATCTCGAATTTTATCGAACTTTAGTTTATCAACTCCTCGTAAACTGCTGATTGCAGCAACAATAGTATCCCACGACTCGGGTAAAGATGACATCAAAATAAATGCTTTAATTTCATCCTCGAAATTAATTTCCATCGAACTCTGTTGACTTACAATCATATTGAATTCGTTTATATGATCAGCAACAGATCCACCTTTAGCATTTGTAGATTGAACAATCTCTACGTCAAATTCACCTTGTTCATAGCCAACGGTTTCTTGTACATATTCAAAAACGCCTTCAATAGATCTAACGCTGTCTTCTCCTTGATAATATTGAACGTCACATGTTTGGACAGCATTAACCAGATGAACCCTAAGGCTTGGCGATCCTTGAGCTTCTACTACTCCGTGGTCATAGTATCCAGCTTCACCCCCCAATAGGGATTTGTGAAGACCTTTCTGGTACAGACAATCTCCAACTTGCATCTTCCAGAAACTTAAATTGGATCCATCAAACTTTTCAATTCCAATATTTGAAATTTCTATCTTCACAGATCGTGGAGAATTTTGCCTCACTCTGATACCAGTTGTTAGGATCGCACAACAACGCACAAACTCGATCAAGAAGAACACAAATAACAAGAGAGAGAAAATTCAAGAGAAATATTGGCTAAATGTTTTATTGATGACTTCATGTATGTACATCAACAGACAATACAGAGAATGAATAAGAGTACATTCTGACAGCACTAACTAATCACGTATATATATGGTTTCTATTTACTAGATATAGTTTTACCAGATATAACATACATTCTGTCCAATATATCTCTACCAAATCTTCACGAAATATCTACCATATATATCTCTACCAATATCTATCACATCTATTTCTACCAGATCTAGATAGTCATCGACTCCTATTTAAAAAAAAAAAAAAAAAATCTTTTGGTATATTTTTAAATTGAATATGGATAGTAATTCTTATTTGAATAGTACAAGGCCTTCCTACAATATTAAGTCGGCAATCCAATCCAATCCAATCCCATCCCAAACCCACATGACCGACTTAAAAAGAAAGTAAAACAAAAATAAAGAACTCTTCTACCTTAATACCTTTATTCCTTTTTCATGTGTCCATCCCCCCATGAATGCCCTAGAGGTGTGAACCCGAGCTCCACTTCAAGAATATTAGCGGCCACACCCTGTTGGCGCCAAGCCCCCTTCTCCACTATTCCTATGGCGGCCACGCACGTTCTTCAAATTACATATAAATTATGAACACCCTTTAATCCAATCTCTTCAAATTAAGATTTTTGCCCTGGATTTCATGTGCTTTCTCAAGGTGGCGAACCACGGCGGCGGAAACGGCGGCCGAGATGACCCGGAGGCTATGTTTTCGTCTGAGGGGGAGCTAATGGCAATGGTGTCGGCTTTGACTCATGTCATTTCGGGTGGCGCTGTTCGTGCTTCTGGGGTTGATTGTTCGTCTCGTGAGGATGCTCCCGTGACAGTGGCGGTGCCGACGATGACGGCAACCGGGTGTTCTAGGAAAAGAGAGAGGGAAGAAGAAGGTGGGATCGTGGAGTTTAGAGCAATTCAGAGTTATTCCACGCCCTCTCCTGCAATTTGTGAGTTTCTAATTCTTGTCCTTGTTTGTGGGTGGTGTCGAGACATTTTTAGAACTAACCCAATTTTTAAAATTATTAATTTTTTTATTAAATAATGAACTGGGTCGGGTTAGATAGGATTGACACGTGGTTCAATTTTCAACTAAAATAAATCTTATTAAACAATGAAATGGGTTCAGTTGGTCGGGTTGAGACATCTTTGAGACTCGACTTCACATTTTATAATTTTTGTTAATAAAACCAGATTGGGTTGGGTGAAAATGCCCTTCGACCCAACCTAATTATTGAAATGGATTATAAATTTTTTCAGTTGGGTTGGTTCGGATCATGCTTTACGTTTTAAAATAATTTTTTAATAAAAATAAAATTATATATTAAATTATTTTTAAATAACTCAATTTTAATATATATTTTGAAAAATTACTTTCATTACAAAAATTATTTAAATTTTTTTTTTGAAGAATAAATAATCAAATAAAATTTAAAAACTTAATTTTAATATATATTTTTGTAAATACGTTCTAAATAATTAAAAAATATTTTAAAGAATGTTTGAAAATAAATAATTGAAATAAATTGAATAAATAAATAATAATAATAAATAATTATGAAATTAAAAAATAAATCTTTATAAAATTTTAAGGAAAAAATTAGAATTAATTGAATTTGTAATTATTGTGGGCAGTAGTAAAAGAGGAGGGAGGTTCAAGTTCAAGCAACCCCATCCCCGCCGCCACAGCTATGGCGGCGACAACGACGGCGGAATTTCCCGGCAAAGAGATAACAAGAACAAGATACAGAGGAGTAAGACAGAGGCCATGGGGAAAATGGGCTGCCGAAATTCGTGACCCTCAGAAGGCTGCCCGAGTCTGGCTCGGCACTTTCGACACGGCCGAGGCCGCCGCCCGAGCCTACGACAGCGCCGCCTTGCGCTTCCGTGGTAGCAAAGCTAAGCTCAATTTCCCTGAATTCGTCACTACCCTTCCACCGTCTTCGCCACCGACCCCAAATTTAGTCCTGTCTCCGGTGGTGCGGCCGCCGGTTTTCCCATTTGATTCAGACTATTTGCAGTATTCTCATTTGATTCAGAATTCCGGCGAGAATTCCGTCCAGCCGGCGCTGACGTTTGACAGGGTGCTCAGTAATTCGCCATTTGTGAATCCAAATTCTTTGATTTCTTCTTCGGGTACTTCTTCTGGTGCTTCGAATTTTGATTTGCCGTTTTCTCAGCAGCAGATTGCATATTTCCGGCCGCCGGAAAATCAGAGCCACGGCGGCGGGGGTTCTTCAATGCCGCCGCCAACGGAATTTGGCTATCGTCCTCCCGCTACCGGTTGACGGTTTGTGATTGGACAGCTGAAATCTTTTAGCGGCCACGGGAACTGCCACGCAGATATTTAATATTTAAAAAAAAAATACAAATATTACTATTTTTTTTTTTTTAAAAAATCTTTTTATTTTCTTGTAGATTTTTTTTTTTTAATTTTTAATTTTCTTGTTCTTTTTAAGGTTGTTCACTACCATATGTTGTAGAAAGAAAAAGATGAAATAGTAATTCATTACCACAAAATTTATTTTCGTTCATGATTTTAAAAAAAAAAAAGTCCATAGAAATTTTGTGATGAATATATAAAATTGTTGAAATATGCTCGAGGAAATTAACGATACAACCTATAGGTGTTGTTAATTTAGTTCTTGAACTTTGATTTAACGAATAAAAAAAAAAAAAAGCAAACTCGCCGCCGGAAAATCTCGCGATTTTCGATGATAAAAAATTTGAATGTCTTACACGATGAAATTCGCACCCCCTTCCCTTTTTAATCACCTTCCACTCCTCATTATGCAATTCAATGCTTTGGTATCCTTGAGAGAGTAAGAATACGGAGAGAAAGGTGGTGGCGCGACTGAATGAACAAGCAAATGACTCACTTTCTGTCGAGGTTGAGAAACTTGAGTTTAGTATGTTGCGACGAACGTAGTACACGGAGTGGAGGCCTACTCATTATTCTCGATATCCTAGTGGTAAGTAAGTTATGCGTTGTGATTGCTGTATTGTAAAAAATATTGTTGGCGAAGATGGGTTTAAGAAAAAATCGTAACGTTAGAATATCACATTTTCGTAGGTGTATAAAAGTACGACACCGAGAGTGAAGAGGAAGTGATCATATGTGCAAGAACCCAAATCTGGGGAGAACGATAATGAAAAAATGACGTCGAAACGATTTTAGGAAGAGAGAGAAAAACTTCATAATTCACAACGTAAATGGGTGTCCGACAAGAGCACCAGAGACTGCTGGCCTGACCAGGAAAAGGGACTCAGGAGGTGTGCGAACTGACTGACTGGTCCATATTCGCACGTATGGGCCGTGAGTAGATGTGTGACTCCCTCCCAACGATCGAGAGTGAAGAGGAAGTGACCAGGAAGAGAGAGAAAAACTTCATAATTCACAACGTAAATGGGTGTCCGGCAAGAGCACCAGAGACTGCTGGCCCGACCAAGAAAAGGGACCCAGGAGGTGTGCGAACTGACTACACCTTCAAGGCTAGCACTTTTTTTTTATTAGACACTTGAGAATTCTGTTGACATGGCTAAGTTAAGGGCATGACTGTTTATTCGACACTTCAAGGATTCTTTTGACATGGCTAAGTTAAGGGCATGACTCTATATCATGTTGGGAATCACAACTATTCACAATTATATGATATTGTCCACTTTGAGCATAAGCTCTCGTGGCTTTGCTTTCAACTTCCCAAAAGGCCTCATATCAATGGAGATGTATTCCTTACTTCTAAACCCATGATCATCCTCTAAACTAGCCAATGTGGGACTCTCTCCCAACAATCCGCAACATGGCTCCCCTACACGGCTGACGATGGTATCGCAACTTAGAAAACCATGAAACATGCATAGGGTAGTTATAATTAATTTCGTAGACTATATGTTAGTATAGGGTATTTCTGTTTTATTTTACTTATGTCTATTTTAATTTTTCCATTGTTTTGTCCTAAAGGATTTTTATTGACTATAACGCGCCAAAATACTCGACACTGAAGTCTATCGAAGATCACCCAAATTGTTGTATAACCCTTTCTGGGTACGCCTCCGATGAAGTCCATATCGATATTTTCCCACTTCCATTCAGATACATTTATGGCTGCATTAACCCTGCTGCCCTCTGTTTAGGAGCTTTGACCTGTTGGTAGATACACTTATGAATTCTATTATATCCTTTTTCATACTTTGCCACCATAGGTGTTATTTCAAGTCTTGGTACATCTTAGTACCGCTTGAATGCATAGAAAATGGCAAGTTTTGAGTCTTAGTTAGTATCTCGTTCCTTAGTTCCTCCACTGCTAGAACATACATTCGTCCTTGACATAGCAGTCCACCATCTGATGATTTGGTTAGTTGACTCAAAATTTTAAATAGGTTAGAGTCCTCTTATTGAGACTCGATAATCCTCTTTCGGAGTGTGGATTTACCGTAAGTCGAAAAATCTGAGCTATGACTCCTTTGGTTACTACTACTACTATATTGGCCCATTTGAAATTCGCCTACACTCGTGACTCTCAGGTAATGAGAGCTGACAGTGTGCTTTTTTCCAACTTAGAGCATCGGGGACCACGTTTGCTTTGCCAAGATGGTACTGGATGTCTATGTCGTAATCTTTCATCAATTCTAACCACCTTCGTTGTCTCATATTTAATTCTTTCTCGGTGAAGAAATATTTTAAACTCTTGTGCTTGGTATAAATTTGAGTATTTTCTCCATACAGGTAGTGTCGCCAAATTTCAAGTGTGAACACTTGCAACCAATTCCAAGTCATGAGTAGGGTAGTTCTTTTCGTAGTCTTTCAACTAATGGGATGCATACGCAACAACCTTACCGTGTTGTATCAACATACATCCTTGTCCCTTCTTGGAGGCGTCATTATATATCACATATCCTTCTGAGCGCTTTGGCACCGTGAGCACTAGGGCCGATACTAACCTCTGTTTTAGGTCCTAAAAGCATGTCTCACATGCTTTGCTCCATAAAAATAGAACACCTTTCTTCGTTAATTGCGTAAGTGGTGAGGCTATCCTAGCAAAGTCTTGTACAAACCACCGATACTATCCTGCCAACCCCTTTAAATTGGGAACTTTCGTAACTGTAGTCAAGTCTTTCCACTTAGTGACCGTTTCAACCTTGGTTGAGTCTATCTAGATTCCCTCTGTCGACACCACATGTCCTAAAAATGAAACTTGTCATAATCAAAATTCGCACGTGTGGAATTTGACATACAACTTGTTCTCTCTCAGAATGGTTAGGACTCTTCGAAGGTTTCGTTGGTGTTTTTGGTCCGTCTTTGAGTAGACTAGGATGTCGTCTATGAACAAGATAATAAACATGTCGAGACACTCCTTAAATACTATATTCAATAACTCCATGAATACCGCCGGAGTTTTAGTGAGACCAAACAACATCACCACAAATTCATAGTGGTCGTATCTTGTTATGAATCTAATGATACCCTGACCGAAGATCTATCTTGAAAAATTTCGTCGCTTCTCTGAGTTGGTCGGGAAAATCTTCATTACGAGGGAGTGGGTACTTATTCATATTGTCTTCTTGTTGAACTCCCAATAGTCGATGCACAGATGCATCGAGCCATCCTTCTACTTAACAAATAACATTGACGCACTCCAAGGAGACAAGCTAGGGCAGATGAATCCTTGTCTTAGCTAGCATTTTCTCTATACTCGAGTACATTTGAATTTCATCCCCTGAAGTTGCTCCAAGTACCGTCGGGAGTTGTTTCCTGTTAGAATCTTCATCCCGCTTTGTTAGTAATTCACATTTCTAACCTAATTTAGCTTGAACTTGGAAAATAGGACGTTATACTAACCTCAATTACCTTAATAAAAAAACGTAAGGAACGATGTAAAAGTGATCAACCGAAGTCGAGTAGCACGTTTTTTAGCCGAGGAGCCGCCGAGCCGCAATTGAAGCGGAGCCGAGTCGATGAAGCCACGTTAACCGAAGGAGTCAACCTCTGCAGCAGTGACACGTGTTGTCGAGGAAAGCTGACATGCACACGGGTCGTGAACCGAGTCGAGGCGCAGGTCTCTAGTTATACCTGCGGGTGCGCGGGCTGTAGTGTCTGGGCCGATTGCTGTGATTTGAACGTCGTGTCTGAATATCCATAGTGGGCCAAGGCTGCTGTTTTAGTTTCAGGTCGCAGATTGTTTACAGATGAGGGTCGGTGCTAATGATACCTAAAAAAAATTGTGGTGTTGATGATACCAAATACACCACTATAAACTATATTTATTTTACTTTATAAACACTTATTTTCTTAATTCTCCCTAAAAAAGATTTACAGATCAAAATAATTTTTTTATAAAAAATAAAAAACCAAATAGTGAAAACCACAAAATTACATGATTAAAAAAATACAAAAAAGAGAATCATATTACAAAATTAAAAAAAATTAAAAAAAAAAAAAAAAAAA